AGATGATCATATTCGTAATAAGAAACGAATATGAAAGTGAAACATAAGTGCATCATATATTCGTAATGATTCAAACTATGTTATGTGTATATATATCTTAATGTTTTCTTCTTTTTTATGATTATATATAGGTTTATTGGAGGGAGAAGCAAGAATTAGTGGAGATATAACAATACAACGTGGAGGGTCTTGCAACAACGACAATACTTGTCACGATACATGTCCGGGTTGTCGTGTAACACAATGTATTTTCAGCCAATGTGTTTGTTCTCGTTGTAACACCCCACGATCAAGTTTACGTATTAAATCTCATATGTAATCTTCTTTCTAAGGACTATCACAGATTTGTGATGTCAAGATGATAATAATTAATAAACAGTTTTCCTTTTAATTTAGAGTGTTTTTTTAGGGAAAAATGTCCAAAAAAAAACGTCCATACTTTTAAATTTGGGACGAAAAAAAATGAACTTTTGAAATGTAATTAATTAAATCGTAAAGTTTAATTGGTTTGACTTTTTGATAGAATAGTTAAGTTTCATTAACTTGGCCATTTCGGACATACCGTTAAATTTTTGTTAACAGAACGAACATGTGGTTAACTTTTTGTTTCACGTGCTTAAATAGACTCGATATTTTTCCAGATAAAAAAATGATTGTGACTATCAAGACTCATGTACTATCTTTTTTAAGCCAAGTAGTTGGGATTGATTTTACTATACATTTTGATGCTTTGAATTGAAGAGTTATAAAGATTTTTTTAAAAAAAACTAAGAAGTTTATTTGTAAAATACTAGTTCAAATGTTGGTAAATCCTAACATAATGTTTGCTCGTGTTTTAGTGGTGCCACATATACGATATACAATGTGTTTGATTTATTTAGAGGAAAAAACATTTGATGATAATCAAGATTCAAGTCCGTGGTATACATAAATCTTCCCTTTTTATTAGAAAATGTAAACTAACTATTACTAGTTTAGCCTGATGTGATATGTGTGCGCTGTGTGCATGTTGAATGCTTTTTTTAAATAGGGAAAGTTACTAGATTGACCCAAATAATGACTTTAATTACTAGAATGTCTCATAAAATATGGGGGTTAAACTGGTTATTTTCATGACGATAATACACTTGCTCTCTTTGTTAGAAAAAAAGGTCAAATTTACCCCTAAAATTTTTCGAAAAACGTGAGAAAAAAATTTTAGGATATTTTTTTGGTTTTTTAAAAGTCTGCTGGATTCGTTATGACATGTTTATTTTAAATGGCAGACTTATTTATCAACGACAGATTTTCTGTGACAGATTTTTTATCTCTCACAAACTTAATTTAATAGGTTGTGACAGAGTTAATTTAACACCACAGACTTTCATCACTTTGACAGATTTATTAAAATTGGTGGCAGATTTATGTTCATAGACTCATAGTGGCCTCAAAATTTTAATTTTCATAAAAATATCTGTCATCAAGTGACAGGTTTGTTTTTGGAAAAATAATTACTAGTAATTACTAGAATGACTTAGTAGTGATAACAGATTTTTTTGATGTTATGACAGTTTTTATTTTTTAAACAAAACAACTGTCGAGTGATAGCAGATTTGTCATACAAAAAAAAAATTGCTAGATTGACATACAATCGCAAATGAAATATTTCTGTGATGACAGATTTTATTTACATTACGACAGAATTAGGTTTAGTTCAAAGAAAACTATCACATTACGACAGATTTAGTGATGAAAAAAGAAATTGCTGGAATGACTTCATATAGTGATGACAGATATGTTTTACGCAATGACAGATTTTAATTTTTCTTCATATTATGACATATTTTTTATACATATTTGATGACAGACTTTTCATGATGGACTACATGACAGACTTTTTAAACACGACAGACTTTTTTGTTTTGAATTTCCATAACTGAAAAATAATAAATGACGAGATAATCTAACTTACCTTATTTTCCTAGGGTTTTGGGCTATCCTAACCGTTTCTCTATCTCGTTTCTCTATCTCTTAGACGACAGCCAACACACGTTTTTTGAAATTCACCATGATGGATCAGGTGATTCTCGTATGTGGCAAATGGATTTTCGAGAATAACAAAACTCATTTATTTTATTAGTGTTGATCTTATTTATGATATGATTCTGAATCATTGTCTAAATATTTTAATCGATATAGAACGTTGAACACACATTTTCGTCAATTGGATAATATATGTCCGTTTTTAAAATTTCAAATCACAGTATATGCAGAAAAAAAATTGATTTTTTTTTTACTTATGTATTATATGATGATTCAAAACAGTTAAAAACAAATCAAACAAATATGATAAGAGAATCATAATTCTAAATCTTAATCAAATCTTCTAAATATCTACATTATTAAATATAGAATATCCGGTGTATGAGTTTGGTTTTATTTAACCCGATCTAAGTATTTTTTTGTGAAGGAATTTAAAAAACGGGTCGGATATCCGATTAACCCAGAAGCATTTTTACCCACCCGTCACCAAAGTGTTGCAAAAATACTAGTATAGATATATATATTCTCAACTAATTACTATATCTAAACTCTTTATTTATGGTATAGTTTTTACGATTTTTATAGGTAAAAGAAATCAAATATGATGATTTAATGCTAATATAACAAATTTGAGTTAATTTCCTAAAACATCTCTACCTAATTTAAACATAAATATATGACTCTCATTTTACTTTTATTTGATCTTATATTATATTATTTTAAATTATTATAAAATATATATAGTTAATAAATTTTTTTTTTTCTGCATATGTTATGATTCAAATTTTTTAAAACGGACATATATTATTCAATCGATAAAAAAAATATGTGTGTAATCTATATTAACAATTTTGATAAACAAATTGCGCATTTAATCATGTCGTTTTTTATTCTTACCCGAAATTGAGTCATTCGGATTTTTTCTTAATTTATACAATTATCTAAAACGGGACAGTATACCACGGGTGAAATTCTAAAATTAACAAATCAAAATAAAATTATTTAGTATTTTAAGATACAATTATAAATTGTTTTTATGGGTTGGTCCAAAAACACACACTTTGAAAATATATACTTTTGGAAACCATTTGAAAGCAAACTTTTAAATTGACTCGAATTATATGTCTTTTAAATAAAAAGGTTATTAAAAAAAAACAAATAATGTATAATTTCACAGGATGAGATTATATGGTGGGACAGATTTGGGTCGATATTAATACGAGACAATATACCACGGGTAAAATCCTAGATTAACAAATCAAAATACATTTATACAATCTTAAATACTAAACAAAACAAATACAACTTAATTTTTTTTTTTTAGTTACAACGCATTTGACCCGCGGTGTACAACAAAAAATATTATACACAACAAATTCATCAATTTATAAAAAATAAAAAAATTAAATAATTAATCCGCGGTGTACCGCGGTGTACCGCGGTGTACCGCAGGTCATATCCTAGTTCTTAAAGATATACACAAGGGAATAAGTGTACAACTGATCATTCAAATTTCAAAATACCAAAAATATTCGTTTTTGGCATAGAGATTCTTCCTAGAAGTGTTTTAGATACTCTTTATACTTTATAGTTTTCTAGATATTACGATAACAAATTTATATGTCTTTTGCTTCAGCGTATTTTAATGTTAATTTTCTCTTGTTTCTCAACATATATATTTTTTTTTATAAATTCATAAACTTTAAAACCGTTAATGGTTATTGTGGTCAAAAATCAAAATACGTATAGCTTAATTGTTTCCATATTTTTAGATACTTTCGTTTGTAAATTTAATAAAATTAAAAAAAGAAAAACTTCATATTTTTATTATATATTTAGAAAAGTTTCCAATTTTCCAAATATTTTTTTTATATTATGTTAATACTTTTTTATAAATAAATTTTCATAATTTTCTTATCTTCGAAACTTGTTCCTAATTCCTATTAAGTACATTATTTTAGAATTAGAAATTTTCTATTTATTCTAAAAATATAACTTATTAAAAAGAATATATTTCAGCATAAAGACTTATATCACAAATTCATATACATATTGAAAAGAATGTAAGAAAAATATGAGTTGTTAAAAAGAAAGTATAAATAAGCTTATGAGTATACTTTTGTATAGGATTTTATATTTAGAAGAGTTGTACTAACTAATGCAGTGAATATAGACGAAAAATAATAGTGAATTTTTTCGCATACAAAAATGAGAAATTCGTCGAAGTTAGACCCTATAAAACAATTTATTTATTTCATGAAAAAATCTGGTCATCCAAAATATCTAAAGCTAAAGAGAGAGAGAGAGAGCTATTAAACAAAAAATATATACTTTTGATAAATGTTGTAAAAACCTAAAAGTTGTATTAGATTTTTTTGAGTTGTTATTTGTCATGGTAATTTTAAAATTCAAAGAATTTGAACTATTAACAGTAACAATAAGTAGAAATATAAAAACATATATTTCAAAAAAATTAATAAATATTACTAATCACACAAAATTTTATTAAAAACTCTAAAAATAGACCCACGCGTAGTGTGGGTTCAGAACCCAGTGCACCAACAAATTATAGGCTGCTTTACCACAGAGATGTAAGAGCATCTCCATCAAGGATGTCTTGAAGAGACATTTATTAATAAAAAATTATAAAAAGAAGAGAGAGAAGAGAAATAAAGCAGACACGTTTCTCTGCACAGACATTTTGAGAAATTGTTTCTCTGATGTCATGCCACATGTCATAGTTTCAATGGTCCAATTAATAAAAAAAAGAAAAAAAAATTACAATCTTAAAATAATAATTTTTTTTTTTTTTGAGAAACTTTCAGAGTTTCTACCCGATGGAAATGCTCTAAACCGTTCCATCGTTCTTTGGATAAACTGTTCCATCGTTTGCAAGTGGATCTTACTCCTCACAGAGATGTCTACCAAATCCTGCTAAAGATGTAAGAGTAAAAGTAAAAGATTTTTGCTAAGAAATTAGTAAAATGAATTATTTCTTATGCTCTGTTTAATTCTCAAAACACAACAAAGAACATCAGAAAGATCTTTACCACAATTCATATTAACAAGAGGAACAAAGATATATAATTTAGAGGAACAAAATTGAGTGAACAATATCCTCCTAATTGTAAAGATTTTTTCATACAAGACTGATTCATCATCCTTCAGGATAAAAGGTTCAGACACTCATACACAAAAGCTATTTTCTACTTCCCACAGTGAAGCATCAAGATTCACTAATGAATCTAAACCTAACAGAAAACAAAAAACAATCCTTAACGTTGCTCATTGTTCTAGGCGTGTCTTCTGATCGGTGAGTGAAACACGATCTCCAGAGAAGATAACCATCAACTCAGCCACAAGCTGCTTGTCATCATGTTTCCTAACATAACAATTTAAAAACTTCTCACTAGTACTTGTCAAAACAGACGATATTGCAGGGAGTTCACTTTCGAGCAATCCTTTTGAGATGAGAACTTTAATTACATTACACCTTGGGACAGTCCTCTTCTCTAGGCTGTATCCAACTACTTGAGGGATTGAAGCCACAGCCTTCACCAGATACTCAGTCTTCTTCTTCACTAACTGTGTCGAAAATCCAATGCATTGAGGAAACCGCTTGACCATCATTAAAAACTCATCTCTGCTGAATCCTAGACCAAGAAATGTTTCAATGGAGTTGGCTACCTTCTTCTCCGAGTGTGTCAGAGAGCGTGGCCACTTCTTGACCATTGCCCATACATCATCCACAGTGAAACCTACACTTGTATAGAATTCAACTTTTTCTTCAATCGTTTTGTCGCTCATTTGGTAAAGCATATGCAAAGCGTGCACAAACGTTGAGGTGGTTGGATCAAAACCCATCTCAACGACCTTCTTGAGTGATGCATCAAATTTTTCTTTTCCACACACGGGCTGCGCTTTGGAGATGAGCAAAGGTAACAACCGCTTTTGAGGCACACCCAATTCTCTCAAAACCAAAACATTTCTGATCTTGTTACCCTGTGATAAAGAATGAGATAACTTTACATACTTGGAACTCTTATCTGCTTCTATAATGACTTTGACGAAATCATAGTATCTGCTGATAGCTTTGCCCTCTCTCTTCCCCAAGCTTTTAGGAACTGTAGAAACAATCTCAGTGAGCTCAGAGCTTGAAGCTCCTCTGGCCTGCAAAAACTCAAGCTTTGAACCAAGGGATGTCGCAGTATTGGCTATAAGCACTTGTGGATCACTCCTAATGATGCTGGAGATCTGAGAATCTGTGAACCCATAACTTCTAAGAAGATCCAGAACCGAATCAGCATTGACTTTACGCAGTGAATCAAGGAATGACGAAGCTTTAAAGGTTTCCCCTTTTCCACCATCTTTAGGGCTCACATCAGCAGCACTAGCAGAAGAAAACGAATTGGAAAAAGAAGATCCATTTTGCAATGAAACTCTCAAGTTACGCCATTTCTGCAACCCCACGAACCTACGGATTATCAGAGAATTCATGACAATGCAAAGCGTTGAAGCGATTCGACCAATATATCTGATCCAATTCGTACCCAATATTCAAAATTTGTCCTTGAATACTATCGATCAGTGAAGAACAAGAGTATCACTCATCGATCATTCACTTGCGGAACTCTCAGAATCGCACAGATACAAAATTTGGGGACGAAACACTTGATTTTTAGGGTTTAGTTCTTGACCGGTTTAAGAAATCAAAAACTGATTTAATTGGTTTACTATTGGTTCATTAATATTATAAGGAATATTTAATAGGTTCGCTAAGGGCATATGCAAGGGTGCATTTTTGAAGTTTGATCTTAAGGGAGAAAAAATATTAAAATATTGTAAGAGCTTTAATTAAGATCTTTTGTAAAGTAAGTGATTATTGGTAGAACATGTTTAGATAATAGGAATTGATTTGAAATTGAAATAATGTAAGATCATTAGTTTACAATTTTCAAACTTTCACCTGTTTTTCTTGCGGCAAACTATAGAATTTTTCAAACAAAATTTGAACATTCACCAAATTCAGATTACTATTGATATATCACTAGTTTAGGTTTTCATAATCACTTGTCCGATTGTATTATAGCTCATTGACTTAGAAATTTGCTTATCATCGAGAAACGAATCGAAAACTTCAAAAGGTTGGGCTCGTGCCTTGATCTTTTTTTTTTTTTTTTTTGTTAATTGCGGCTTCTTTTTAAATATGTGGAAGTTTTGCTAGATTCGACAATCTTAGTAAAATCAAATTGGTTGATTCATTTCTTTGATATTGTTAATCTACTTGACTACTTGATATCTATGGTTTAGATTTTATTCGGCAATGAAAAACAGTTGTGATGATAATTTGTTTTTTTGCAGATGCAGTATAGTTGGCATAGTCAAATTCAGTTGTACATTGAACAAAAATCAGTGTACAAGACGTGTTTTTATGATGGCAAAATATATTTTTTCAAACATAATTTGGACATTCACAAAATTCAGATTTTGGAAAGAATTTCTAAAACCACTGGGTAAATCCCATCATAAATTTCAATTTTGGTTTTTTGATGAAAATTAAGAACAGTTGGAAATCAAAAATAAAAATGATTGTGGTATGTCACAAAGTTTAGAAATTCTCAACCTCTGTATTTCAAATAAGTTTACACTTTACACCTATGAACGAAACATGTGTCTTTGCATATTTTCTTGGTTGCAAAGTGACCTTGCAAAGTTGCAAATCTATTTGTTGTTTTATTGTTACTTCAATGTCCCAAATTTGTATAGTTTTTATATTTTCATAGTTAGTTTGAAAAATCAACTTTCATATAACTTATATATCAACGAATTCATCAACTCAGGAATTGGTTTACCTCGTAGCTTTCGAAAATACCCATTTTCAGTCTTCCGAATGTATAAAGCTAAACGCAATGCCATATCTGATCGATTTCCTTTCTCTTCCAACTTATGTTTCCTAAGCTCCGCCTCCAATTCGTTCATGCTCAACTTATTAACTGATTTTCCTCCTGACTCTGGCCAATCTACTATGTCAAGATATGAAGCCTTGTCACACTCACCAAGGTTTAAGACAGACAGGATGTCAGCCAAGTGATTCTGCAAGCATAGCAAAAGAAAACTTTAAGCCAAACCCAAGATACATAGAAGATGTTGAGACTTCAAATGTATAAAATAATACCCTCGAGTGATCCATCTCGTTAAGAAGATCTTTAAGGGTCCCATAATGGGGACGGAGAATTGGTGAATTAGATGGTGGGATGCGTTTCCTAAGAAAACAAAAAAGGAAAAAAAAACAACAATGAGGTTAGATTGAGACAACGTGGGACAATCAATCTTTAAATCTAACAAAACGTGGGACAATCAAGAATTTACCAGAAATTTTCCAGAGCAGCTTTCTGCTTCAATTCCTGAGTATATCAACTTTCATATAGTTGCATAATTTATATATCTAATTAGAGCTGACTGATATATTCTCTAAGGATGAAGATTTGGAGAGGTTGAAGCATGCTCGATAGCGTTTTCCGTTACTATCCTAGAATAAGCCTTTCTTCCCAAAGATGTAGATATACTCCAAAGTTGGTTGCCACCTCATACATCTCCACTGTAATCATAATCAAATTTAGGTTTCTTCACGCCAAAATTTAAATTTTGATTGTTCTGAGGATCACCCCTTTATATGTATGCTTCATCGTCAACTTCTAAGACCTCGATAGAGAGAATTGTTGGATCTCCTTGACTAGTATGGAAGCAAATGGTTGATGTCCGATTGAGGACAAAGATAAGAGCTTCAACAAACACTTGGTCATCCTTCTTAGTCTAGCCCATAATCAAAGTTGAAACCAAAGTTCCTTCAATAGATATGTCGAAAATGGTTTTTTTTTTCTTAAAACATGTATGGTTAACCAGTTCAAAGAAGATCCTGACAGAATAGTAGCCCACTTGCACTCTGACCAGGTGATAACAGTTGGTTGGTCCAGCAGATTATGGGAAATAATGCATCGTTTTCAAGGATGGAGTGATGTTACTGAGTGTTGTTGCATTGGTAGATAATCCTCTTGTAAAAGTTGTATCCTTGTGCCACAGTCTTTAACTTGGTGACGATTTGACACTTTGAAGAGCACCACAGCTGATCCGGATTGAACGTGGCTCTGAAAAAGCAAGGAAAATTAAACTGATCCAACAAGAGAATCTGGAGGGGATTCAAATCAATATTCAAAGCCTTTGTTGGTCTGATTATGGAATATAAGAGAATTCAGATACTAAAGCTATCAAAACTATCCCAAGTAAATTTAACTCAGCTCTAAACTAATCAGCAAAATAAAAACTTTGCAAATTATCAGTTACTCAAAGACATTTCTTTGTTGGTCTGATTCTGGTATATAAGAGAACTTAGATACTAAAACCACCAAAACTATCCCAAGTAAACTTAACTGCCGAAAAAGGGTATATTTAACAAATCACACACAATATCAATATATTCACTTTTATATAGTATATATTAGTATAGAATTTGTTTTATACTTCAATAATACAAAGAGTTTATAAGATAGAATTTGGAACGAAATATGAAAAATAATATAATGTCATTTCTCTGACTTGTTTTATATTATAAAAGATTTTGCTATTAATAAAACAATTATAAATATATTTTGATAGAATATTAAAATTAAACTACTAAAATATGTACACGTCTGGATATACTTTTGTTTCTCTTATCTATTAGTTATGTGTCATTTCTGACGTTATCGATTCCAAATTCATATTTCATTCCAAATTTCATTTTTTTTTATGTAAACACATTATCGATTATTTAAATAATAATATGTGTCATTTCTCGGCTATTGTATAATAATAATAAACACACAAATTAAACCCAAGATTGTATAACCTTAACAATACATAAAGTTCAGAATTTTGAACCGGTTAAACATACTATAACTCAACATCTAAAAACCAATACGAATTTAAAAACAGAGTTGAATAAGACGTTTATAATACTTGGTACTTGCATGGGTTATCAGTTTCTTTGAACACAAGTTGGCACTTGGCGTCGAAGCCATGACCACATTTTCCAATCCTTCACATTCGTAATATGTCTAAGTTACATTCGAACACAAGCTGGCATGAATTTGAAGCCCTGACCACACTTTCCAATTCCTCCACCATCTCAAGATTCTCAACCATGTCTTGAGAATTGTTCTCTTCATAGATTTTTCTGGTGAAAGTTGCTTTCTTCAAACTATTTGAGTTCCTTAGGATGTATTTGGCCACCACCTTTTCGTCTTCTCCTAACCTTTTGCAGCCTTTCCACATGAATGTCTCGAGATGAAACAACAAACATCCAGGAACATTCTTTGGTTGATTCCAATTCCTAATGGCTAAAGGTTTTTTTTACACCATACCATTTCTGAGACCAACGAAGGGGAAACACAATGTAATGCTAATATTAGATCGATCACAAAATTTAAAACCAACTTGGAAAAATTACTGACAGGTGAACATTTGCTTACACCAATGAGCTTGAGGACTTGCAATTTAGGAGAACTATCGACCATGAGCACAAGTAGATTCCACCACTCTTCTTTATCTGTATATAGCTCCAAAGATACCAACTGATAGAAGATACTACCAGTTGGAAACTTAATCTATACATGAGGCAGTATTAGTACAGAAACAATCTAATAACAACAAGTGACCCGAATAATTGCAAGAAAACCTTACCTCCAAGGGTGATAAAGCCAAGGAAAGAGGTTTGACTGAAGTGAGAGATTTTAGAAGCTTCTCATTGATTATCTTAGAGACATCAATAATAGTTGCCTCCACCAACTCTGGTGCGTTCTCAATCAGAAAAGACTGGAGAGCATTAATCCCTTGAATCTTCAAGTACTTCAAAGAGGGAGCATTTATCACATAGCTCACAAACTCTTGTTCATCATTGTAATCATTAATTGTTAGTCTCTACAAAGATGGCCGTGCAATGGTGAAAGTCTCCACATTCCGTAGATCTCCTCGAGACACAACCAGATTTTCAAGATTAGAACAACCAGATAAAAGGTTAAGAAATGTTTCATCATCTTTGTATTCCACATTTTCAAGACGCAGAGTTCTAAGAGACTTGAGACAAACTTGAGAAGGGACATCAACAAAGACCCAACTCATGAGTGTCAAGCTCTCTAGGAAATGTGAAATACCCTTTCTCAGATATAACATGGAGTACCAAATCACGCACATGGCGTGCATATGCAATTCCAATCCACATCCCAACATCAACAGCACGACACTTGCCAGCCTTAAAATCGAGATGCAAACTCTCAAGAACAGGAGCTTTATTGGAAAGCAAAAGCCTGCAAACAATCTCTGAGTATGTATCGTGTTCACTTTGATTGTTTTCATAATCAAAATTGAGTTTGGGCACCAGCTTCCAGAGAGACCTCCATGGTTTAGACAAAACACTAGTGGAAACAACATCTTTTACTGGAAGTAAAGACAGTATCTGCAGAAGGAGAGCTTCAGGCAAGTCACTGATCCTGTCCTCATTCACACCACTTCCATTTCTCAAACTTTCAAATACCCAAAAGTAAAAACATGAATCAATTGGTTTGGAACTAACAATTTAAATGAACCCTAGAACAGTTGATAGAAAAAGAATTCAAAGAGATAACAATTGTTCATAAAACATACCATCGTTTCATTGTCGTTGATAGAGACAAAGATTGGGCAAAAATCGAAGTAAAGAAGACCAGCTCGGTTCAATTGCTGTTGCAACTCCAAACCAATAGAAAACAAATCAATTGAAATCGGAGTTCGACCACTAAGAGAGATTACTGAACTTAGGCCGTTATCACAATTTTTACTTGGGCCGGATGAGAGATTTATTTACCGATACAAACCGGAAGAAAACCAAACATCCCTCAATTTCGATTTTGCGTAATTCCGGTTTTAAGGTATTTTCAAAAATTCTAAATTCTCTTTTCTCTAATTCATCAACACTCATAGGAATCTCGGAAAGTGCCCAAACCTGTCGTGCCGGGTGGCACTGAAAGAGTGTATGATTGATTGTTTCCACTGGTTCGCCACATCTGGCACAGCCTGTGTCACAATCAATTCATCTTCTCCGCAAATTTTCCGTAACTGGTGCACAACCCGTTAAGATTTGCCATAAGAAATGACGTATCTTAGGCGGACATTGCACTTGCCAAGAATGTGCTTTTAACGGTTTGATATCTGGGCCAATCAAGGATAAATTGGTCTCCAACCTTTCCAACCTTGTGGTATGATATCCCGATTTGACTGTATATTTTCCGGATTTTGTAAAATGCCAACCTAGTGTATCTTCCTTAGTTGGCGCACCCACAGGTAGGGCACTTATTAGGGCGACATCTTCTGGATCAAATATCTCTTCTAAGAGAGCAATGTTCCAAAAATTCGACCGACTATCCAAAAGATTGTTAACTTTTAACAATGAGTCAACAAGTGAACTATTACTCTTTGCTGGTCTCGGGAATTGAGCTGGAATCCAGGGATCCTCCCAAACTGAGATGGATGTCCCCGATCCGACCCTTTTAATAAGTCCTTTATTAACCAGAGATCTAGCTGAACAGATACTACGCCATCCATATGATGGGGAGTATGATTTTATATTTTCCAAGGGATTGGATTTCCGAAAATACCGCCCTTTAAACACCTTCGCGAAAAGAGAATTTGGAACCGTAATCAACCGCCATAATTGTTTGGCTAATAGGGCTGAATTAAAATCGTCTACATTCCGAAAACCTAACCCTCCTTCCGATTTGCTATTACACAACTTGTTCCAAGCCATCCAGTGCATACCTCTGGAATCCCCATTTGAACTCCACCAAAATTTAGCAACCGCACTAGTAAGTTTAGAAGTGATTGTTTTTGGTAGTCTGAAGCAAGACATAACATAGGTTGGTAATGCTGCAGCTACCGATTTAATCATAACTTCTTTCCCACCTTTCGATAAAAATTTCGCCGACCATCCGTTAATTCTTGTTTGCAATCTATCTCTGACAAAAGAGAATATTTTTGTTTTAGATCCACCCAAACTCTCCGGCAAACCGAGATAAGATCCCATCCCACCGATATTAGTGATTCCCAAGGTAGATTTGATTTCTTCTTTGATATCCTCATCTACTTTATGTCCAAACTGAATCGAGGATTTTAAAAAATTAATCTGTTGTCCTGAGACAGCTTCATACTTTTTTAAAATCCCCAAAATTACCTCACACTGGTCCTTGTTTGCTTTACAAAAGAATAAACTATCATCCGCAAATAACAGATGTGAAACCGAAGGGCTTGCATTTGCTATCTTGATACCCGTAATTAGTTTTTCCCTTTCTGCTTTCCGAATATTTACAATTAGCACCTCTGTACAAAGGATGAATAAATAAGGAGATAGCGGGTCTCCTTGTCGTAATCCCCTTTCTGGTACAATTAGTCCTCTAGGTTGCCCATTAAGGAGCACTCTATATTGAACTGTTGTAATACACCACATTATCCAGTTAATCCATTTCTCGCAGAAACCCAATTTTCTTAGAACCTTCTCAACAAAAATCCATTCCACCCTGTCATAAGCTTTACTCATATCAGTTTTAATGGCCATAAATTTTCCTTTACATGACGGGTTAGTTCTCAACCCATGAAACATCTCTTGTGCAATAAGTATATTATCCGAAATCAATCGTCCTTCGACAAAAGCTGATTGTGTTTCCGAAATCAGTTTTGGTAAAACCGTTTTAAGTCTTTGACAAAGAATCTTCGATATAATTTTATAGCCCACATTGCATAGACTTATAGGCCGTAATTCCGTCATCCGTGTCGGTCTTTCCGTTTTTGGAATCAGGCAAATATTTGTCGTATTTAACCGTTTGTCGAAAATTCCATTCTCTAAAAAAGAATTAACCAGAACAAGAAGATCTGATTTAATTGTAATCCAAGCCTTTTGAAAAAATAAGGCTGTCATACCTTCGGAATTTGATTCTTCAGCCTTTCCATGGATTATCTGGTATATTTGGAAAGCAAGAAATGAAAAAATCTTTGAAAATATTGACAAAGATCCGTTAGAGGTATTACGGTTAGCGGAAAAAGAAGCACAATTGTGGCAGTCAGCCCAAATCGAGCTTCATCATGAAACTAATGGTATTGTGGATTTGGTAAATCGTTCTCGAGTGGGGGATGCTTTACTTGATTCGAATTATTGTGGATGTCGTTGCTTTGTGGATGGATCGTGGAAAGAAAGTGATAAGTTCTCCGGTATAGGATGGTTCTGTACATCATCAACCGGAGAGCCGCCAACCATGGGAGCTGCCAACCTCCGTAGAAGTCTATCTCCATTACATACAGAATTCGAGGCTCTTCTCTGGGCGATGAAGTGTATGATTGGTGCAGATAATCAAAAAGTGGCGTTTCTTACAGACTGTTCTGATCTGGTGAAGATGGTGTCTTCTCCAACCGAATGGCCGGCGTTTTTAGTGTACTTGGAAGAATTCCAGAGTAACAAGGAAGAATTCTCATCATTTTCTTTATCTTTAATTTCTCGAAATGCTAATGTAAAAGCGGATAATCTGGCACGAAAAATTCGTACAGAACCGTTTCATATCACATATGTAAACAACATTCCTCATGAATGGCTCTTTTGAGCTATAATTAATTTCGGATGACAAAAAAAAAAATCAACACTCATATCATTTCTCTATCTTTGTTCTCCCGTCATAATTATCTATTATATTAAAACGGCAGTACAAAAACGATTTTAACCTATGCTTTCTAGGCACATGATTTTATGGGAATTTTATTCATAAAATGATAACTAAATTGATTGCGTAATGTGTTAGACTGTGACAACGAATATATCTAATAATAATTAAGTCCATTATATACATCGATCTTTGTTTTGTCTTTGAAATTTCAAACGATCTTCTTTCATGGGTATTTTTTTGGTAAACCATTTTAAATAATATATACGAATTATATTTTCCGGAAAAAAAACAAGCTAGCACAACTCACAAATTCAAAGTTTCAAACCATGTCATATATAGTATGGATTGCAAATTATTAAAAAAAAAAAAAAAAAAAAAACAATCATGAATTAGTTTCCCTTCATAATAAAAAAGAGGAATGAATGAGAAGGATGAAAAAAAAAACTTTAGAAAATGAGGGGAAATCTCACAAAACAAATAAACCCATGCTGGCATTATCTGTCAATGGGTTTAGCTGAGATGATACGAATAGTAACCAAACTAAATGTCATTAATAATAAAAATTGGTATGCCACTGCATAGAATGTGATTCTGGTAATACATCATATTTTAAATAAAAATGACGCTATACATCTTTTATGCTACATTATTAATTTGTACATATGATTTTATTTATATCATGCTACGAAGACTAACATAAAGAATCAAATCACATGTGCACGCAAGATGATGTGAACAAAACAGAGAAATCACTTTTATGTCTCAATCCTCAACAAAATTTCAACCTTTAACTATTTTTAGCAAATCCCACTCTCTTGAACCTCATAAGTCATAACTGTTAACTTTTTAAATGGAGGTTACGGTTCAAGTTGCAATGATACACTTTATAATTTTGTAACTAGACCAAAAAAAAATGTAATATTAGACTAATCTTCTATTTGTTATGTTTAGGATTAGTCTAGAGGAATACAGCATTATACTTTTGTAATTACTAATTAGACATTTACAGGGGTTGAGAAAGAAGTTGTTACCATCTTTTATGAAAAGAAAAATATTCAACCATGAAATTCAACTCTTCCAAAATTCCGAGATAGTTTTATTGTTCCTCAATTGTGCACTTAGTAAAAATTTGTCAGTGGTCAAACAATGGTCCACTTATTCTCCACTTTGATATGTTTGCAAATGCGACTTTTTTTTTTTATCTTACTCATTAAAGGAGGAGATTCATTCAAAGACATTTTATTTCTTTCTTTCTGGTTTTGCAAAAAAACAAGAAAAAAGTTTTTGTTCACATTTTAGAAGAGAAGCAACACACAAATAATATTCGTAAGGTAACATATTATAAGTGCAAAGTGATTTCGAGATCGTAAGATTACTACGACATTGACATTATATAAAAAGGTAACATGAACCCAAGAAGAAAACATAACATAATTATGATTTTATGACACTATTAAACGGTTTAATGAACCCAAACAAGAAGTAAACAAAGCATAATTATGATAGGATAATAAAGTAGTTTTAATAACGAAGAACAGTGTAATTAAATAGTATCATTTTTAATCTATCACAAACGTATCACGAAGATACTTCATTCTTTTTACGAGATTCACATGGCAATGGAAGACCTTGAAATCGCAGTTCGGAGCTGCTATAGTGTCCAAAATCATCTTCGCCGTGCGTTCTTGACTCACACTCGGATCATTCTTTTCCACCAGCACCGCTCGGACGATCTTATTGAACCCTTTGCCTTTGCTACGAGCCACGAAATCAACCAGCGCAGCTTGTACCGGACCCAAACTAGGGTTTGCCGCCACTGATTCAATGTACCATCCACGGTACATGATCCCGTCGTTATCCAGCAGCGCCACTCCCGAGGGAGAGCGAGTGTACGGCGAGAACGAATTATTTGCCGCGGCTAGAGCCTTGCACTTCAAATGGGTACAGTCTGGGCAGATCTCTCCGACAGAACCCGAGAGAATGAGACAGTTATCGTGGTTCTCGAGAAGGAGAGGGGAACCTTTCGAGAGGATGTTGTCGGGGGAGAATCTGTCCAGAAAGAGGCTTCCAAGGCTCGAGAATGATCCTTCTTCATGCTTTGATTTGAGCAGGATTTTGATGTCAGGCGCGTTTCTGATCTCCATAAGAAACTGGCGGCAGTGTCCGCACGGCGTGCCGAATTCTTTACCGTCAATAGAGACGGCAACGGCTAACTCACAGAGGTCTTTCTCGGAGTTGAGGGCGAGGTTCGTGACGAGGAATTGCTCGGCGTGGATGGAGTGGTGAAGAGGAAGACCTGGGAAGTCGACATTGACGCCTAAGTAGACCCGACCCGATGATGCACGTCCAACGGCTCCGACTTTGTATTTGGAGAATGGAGCCCGAGTTAGTGATATCGCGTTTCTGATCAGCTTTGGAAGTTTGATGGGTTCGGTGACACCTTCCGATTCTGCTTCGTTGGCAGTGAAAACGAACTTATAGCGGTCGTACATGACGAGAGATTCGAAAGGAGATAACAAGTTAGGCTGTTCTGCCATTGTCTATGTCTAAGTTAGGATCGTGTTTGGAGATTTTATGTTGAGTGATATGAAATTAAATGAGATGAGAAGTAAGATTAAGTCTTTAACTATTTATATAGATGTGTTGTGTCTTTGTGCTTATTGTGAAAGTACTTTTTAAAATCGTGTTTTATGTCATTCGTATACGCAAACAATTCGTTAGTGTGTAAACCACAAGATAAAAAAGGTGATTGTGACTATCAACATTCATGAACTAGCTTTCTAAGCAAAGTGGTTAGGGTTAATTTTCTAGTTAGTATAATATAAATTAATGAAATGAAGAGTATTCTAGAAAGACTAGTCCTATAACTTGTAGTAGTAACATTTTAATGGTTTGAATATTAAGAAGTTATTTGTAAAATGCTAGTTCAGTTGTTCGTAGATTGTAGCATAGCGATTATTTTGATAGTGTCAAATCTGATATAGAATGTGTTTGAAAATTGCAAACTGATATTACTTGATATGTGATGTGTGTTAGGTGTATATGAAATGCTTTTAAAATGGTTTACCACGTAAGTAAAGAATTATATGCACACGCAAGAATACAAACGAGATTTTGACTGTATCTCCGTCTTCAAGACTCATCTTCACATGATGACTTATGAATCATTTTTCAAAACAAATTGGCTTTTAAGTAGTTAGGATTACTTTATTAATCTTGTAGAAATTAAAAGTGATATACAACTAAAGAATGGTTAAAACTAAAATTCAATTGTCTTAATTAGTCACACAATTTCAGGATATGAATAGTAAAACAAACAAAAATTGGGAATCTTATTCATTTTTTTAGACATTGGAATCTTATTCATAGAAGTAATAATTAAATTAATTTTCACGACCAAAAAAATAATTAAATTAATTTAAGAGTGTGTAATTTAACATTTTTGTAATTAGACATTTCGTACAGCTTATACTTTTGTAACTAGATCATGACCCGTGCTATACAGCACGGGGTTTTATTATTTTTTTTTGAAATATATTGTTCATTTAATTTGAAATATGTAAAAAATAACATAGTGTAATAGTTTAGTATAAAAGGGAATTAATCATATAGTTTTATGTTTATTACTATCTGGACATTATATTGTGTAGTAGTTATTTGACGATAATTTGTATATTTTGATTGTAGAAGTAAATAATACTATAAAATTTATTTTAGATATATTTTCCTTATAATAGTTGGTTGCTTTAATTTATATTGTTTAACACTACATGAATTTTAATTTGGTTGAAGACATGAATTGGTAATAAAATGATGTAGTATATATTATCTTAGAATTGAATATATTTAGTTGCATTAGATTTGTATTTTGTTTTATAAGATTAACAATTTATTTAGTTTAAGTAGTAATTGATAATTTGATATAAAAAAGAAATTGTTGTATTGGTCTGAGTTGTTTAGTGGGCTATTTTGGGTTTATTTGGCCCAGTTTGTTTGTTAAAAAAAAAAAAAAAAAAAAACAACAAAGAAAAAAAAAACCGATCGGCAAAGTTTTTTTCGAATTCTACCCAGAAAACTAATGTCGAATTCTACCCAAGTTTTTTTCAAATTCGACCTCAAAGATAACACAGATTGAATTTCATGCCCAATCCGTTCATATATTTCGAGTAATTGAAGCACGTCGGAGTGGTGATCAAAGGTAAAATTCAAACCGAACGATTTTGTTTATAAGTTACAGAAATCGATTAATTAAGTTCATGAGCTGATTGATGATTAAATCGATTTAAGAGACAATGAATTATGTAATATCTGATTGCAGAACTGAATGAAATTCTCCAAAATGAAGTTGTCGATGAAAATGAGTTGTGAAGAAGAAGATCAGCGAAAAATCTAAACAGGGTTGATCTACTTTCAGCAAGCAACTCAGGAACAGCTGATTGCAAGATTAGACCAACACAGAAATGTCCAGGTAATTGATCATGACCAATTTTGTTTATTAGTTAGACAAATTTATCAAGTATGTTCTTGAACTGATTGATGATTGGATCGTTTTAAAAATTTGGTAACAAATGAAACATTTGATTTTGAAACATGTAGATTAGAACATTGAATTCATAATAGAAATGTAGAATCGATATACTGAGTTAAATAAAGTGATGGCATCTATTTGTTTAGAAGAAGAAAAAGTTCTATAATCTAAAATTCGAGTGTGATAAATAAATGAAAGAAAAACCAAAAAATGTAAAACTTTAAATCTAATGCTGTTGCTTATTCAAGTGCAGATGAATGATTTTCATACTCTTATTCTTTTAAACACGTCCTGACTATCCTCCAACTCCTTTCAATTCCTTGTTTTGATGCTGAAAAGTTAGAGAAAATGAAAATAGAAAAGCCACATAATGTCATCAGTCATAAAAACAACTTCTACTCTAGTCTATAAGAATGGAGAAAACCATTATGATTAGTTAGCATATTTACCTAGTCGAATTGGAACTCTTTTAGATTCTTTCCATGACTGTCTTTAGTGAAGGTTTTGAAAGACTTCTTTATAAACTACATTCATTGTTTTGCTCTGTGGTTTACCTTTCTTGTCTGTTATAAGAATCTTCAAACCTGAAATAAGGGTAAAATTAATAATCTTATACATAATTTATCAATTAACATTCTGGATATAAGTATCTTGATACCTGATTTTGACGACACTCTAGAGATTGCCACGTATAGTTGACCATGTGAAAAAACAGGCCTAGGCAAATAAAGTCCAACGGAAGATAGTGTCTGTCCTTGACTCTTGTTTATGGTCATGGCAAAAGCAACAGATAGAGGAAATTGCCTACGCCTCATTTTGAAAGGCAATCTGGCATCTGATGGTGTGATGAGCATTCTAGGAATCAGAACAATCTTACCAACTTTGTTACCTGTGATAACTCTAGCTTCAATTACCGTGTCTGCCATTTGAGTGACCTGTAATCTTGTTCCATTGCATAAACCTTTATTAGGATCCATGTTTCTGAGTAGCATGACCGGACAACCAATCTTCACACGCAAACAATGGTTTGGCAATCCAGAAACTCTAACACTGTTCAGAAAATCAGGAGAATATGCGACATCATTAGCAGCACTTGTGTCTGAAGGGTCTATACTATCAGAACTTAGGTAAATTCTCTCTTCACCTAAAAACAGAATGAAAATGGATGCAAATTAGATATAAGCTTGTATTGAAATTGTATCATATTCATCTGAAAAAAATAAATAAGGAATGGTAAAAGTTAACTAACCATCCAACATACTCAGCATATGCTCATTTATGTTGTTGACATCCTCATTAGTAGGACAGAGAATAGCTCTTCCTTGAAAAAATTTAGGATCTTTCTCCACCATAAAGGTATTTCCATAAACTGCATCGATGATGGATTCGATTGGATCTTTATCCCGAGTAATAAGTAACTCTTTTGGGATGTCAATCATAGCAATTCCATCATTAGGCTGTGCAATTTTCCCATCTCCAACATCTAGTATCCACTTTGAGAATTCCTCTATTTCCCGCTTTTCAAGGTCACTAATGTTTGCAAGAAGTCTCATATTCTTTGTTAGCTCCAAAACTCTGCAATGCTCCCAAATATAAGAAGAATTAAGCGCAGCAAACACAATCTCCTCTCTACCAGCACCATTGATAACCGGTAACACTTGTCTGAAATCACCTCCAAAAACTATAACTTTACCGCCAAAAGGCTTGTCCTCTGGATTATTCATAATATCTCTCAGAGTTCTATCCAAAGATTCAAAGCAATGCTTACTCATCATAGGAGCTTCATCCCAAATAATTAACTTTGCCTGGGTAACCAACTCACCAAGATCTGATCCACGTGAAATGTTACATGTAGACGCCTCATTGGGATTTAAAGGAATACCAAACCTGGAGTGTGCTGTTCGACCGCCATCTAAAAGCAGAGCAGCAATACCGCTAGAAGCGACATTTAAGCATATGTCTCCTTTTGATCTAATAGCAGCAGACAATAATTTCCAAAGAAAAGTTTTTCCAGTGCCTCCAAAGCCGTAAACAAAAAACACTCCGCCTGTATCGTGATTCACAGCATTCATAATCTCATCATATATCTTCTTTTGTTCTGAAGTCACCTTAGCCAATCCTTCTTCATGTTTTTCTGCCAATTCTGCACGGTTGTACTTGAGTTCATCCAATAGAAAATGATTGCATTTTTCAACGTCTTCCGATGAAACTTGTGGCATCTGCTTCCATTTTGTAAGTGAAACTCCATTTTTTGTTAGCAGCCTATCTATCTCTTGCAAACAAAATTCCTGTTTCTCCTCATCACTCAGATGGAGATCTGCAACATTTAGAAAAAACATACCAACAAAATAAAGTTAGTCACCATCAACACATCAGTCTAATCATTCAAATTAGTAAAATAAAAGTTGTATATGATATTTTCAAATAAAATATATCGATACTACTACAAAACCTTGTCGATGCCATTCTTTTCTTTTTCTGCGCTCAATATCCTCTGATAAAATCTTCCATGTTTCCTCCCATACCTTCTCTGGTTTGGTTAAACTCTCTGAAAGTAGCATAATGACAAATAGCCTCCGAACATACTTTGCAGAACACCAAAAATTTGCATCTTTGATACCCTTGATATACTCTTTGTCATCATCTAACAATCCCAAAGCGAAAACCGCATCTCTGAAGGATTCGTGAACAACACCTTTCACAGTTTTAAGATCTTTATAACCTGTAGCACCTCTTTTGATGTTTAAGAGGATTCTCAAATAATAAGCATCTTCTATCGTACGTGGAACAAAGTTAATCCTTCCAATAGCAAATCCTCTATCTCTGATCACAAATTTTTTTTCTTTGCTGTTCCAAGTGAAGTGATTTGGAACTTCTTCAAATAAGAGCTTGGTTGGATCAGGAGCAGCCTTTGGCAGTTTTTTCGCATTAGCACGAACTTTTCTACTTGGAGGATTCTTGTTAAGCTGAAACCACGCCAAAAATTGAGTAGCTTCACTGCTTAATCGACTCATAACACTCTCTTTGGTTTCACCTGGTTTGTAAAACACTGGTTGTTTTCCTTCTTCGTGAAAGTAAAGTTTAACAACTGGTGTTGTTCGATGATGTATGGGAAATTTGAAAATTCTCCATATAGCTTCACAAGCAGATACGTACCTGTTCAAATTGTAATAAGAAACTGCCATTAACAAAGTGAAGTATAATCACAATCAGGCTATATATGTAAAACTAATTAAAGTTTATACGTCAAAACCTGCAATCAAAGTAATCCTGGACTTCGTCCTTATCCTTCTTAGCAGCAGCCGGGTCACTTGGCTCAACAGTAACTGTGATACGGTCATGTCCTTTATGAACATACTTAAACAGATACTTTATTGACCCTGATTGGTTGCACCACTCAACATTGATATGAGCATGATAACGAAGGGATAGCTTCTCGTTATATGGGATTACGTAACGATTATCGCATTGAAAACCATTCTTCTCGACATAAGTACCAGTATTACGTCTTCTGTAAACTGGAAAGCCATCATTATCAACCCTACTAATGTTGGAATAGTCTTTGGGGAAAAACTTAGAGCATCGTCCATTCACCATACATGGTGAATTCGGATGACCAGCACCACATGGTCCATGAATCATACAGTCTTTAACCACTTGGTAAAGTTCTGGTTTCTTTTTCTTATCTGGAATCTCAGCACATATCACTTTATCAATGTCTTCGGCGGTTCTCAACTTACTGGTGGGATGCATGAACAACAAAATGTGTGCATGCGGAAGACCTCTTTTCTGAAATTCAATTGTGTACATTGCTGGAAAATACAGAACATACAAAAGATTAGAGGTAAATTCAATATAAAACACAGATACTAATAATATAAATATAGATGCTTTCAGTAAAAAATACCTGAAGCTGTCTTTCCTAGTAGACTCTTGGTGGTTAGATCATACATAAGATTATCAAGCTTCATCTTGAAAATCCTACATATGATGTCTGGTCTATCATCAGACTTCAGGTTTCTCTCTTTACAGAATCTAACAATTTCAGGCCACTTTGGATTGCAAGTAAACGTTATGAACAGTGATGGAAATCCAAAGTGTTTGCAGATAGCCATTGCATCCAAATAATTGTTTGTCATGTATCTTGGTCCGCCAGTAAAGGAAGCTGGAATCTTAAATTCTCTACCTTGATTTTGCAAATCATCGTTTCCAGCATTGGAATTGCTTTGGATTGATTCTAAGTTTGAGCTCCGGAAATTGACTTGATTCTTCCTAATATATCTCAGCCTGTTTGACTCAATCATAGTGTAAGCGTCGACAATGAACTGCTGAAGCAAGCGCTTAGAACGAAGTAAAACATGTTTCTCCTCTTTCCTTTCTTGAAGACGATACGCAAACCACTGCCTCATACTTACTTCTTTCTGTTCCTTTTCAGCATTCCCTTTGCTGTTGGTTTTAGCTTTCAGTATACCAACTCTAAAACCATCTTCCCCGTGTGGGAATAACAGAGGATATTGTAGTGCTAGATAGGAAACATGCAGTTCACTTATTCTTTTTAGCTTCCCTGTACTTTTCTGCTGTAAAACGATATCACGTTTATCCATATTTTCATGAAAATCTCCTGGAATTAATGCTGCAACTTCAGATGCTGTTGGCAGATTGTAGGTTCTTCCATCATCCTTTCTCTTGGCAATAATTCTCATGTGAAAAGTGTCTTCTTCATCTGTATTGAATCTGTCTCTTGCTGATCTAAACGCTTCAACATGAGGGTTTATATCATCTAAAAGCTTGATGATACTTTCAATGATGTCCTTGTTCAAATTTTTTTTTTTCTGGCCCGTGGCAGATTCACCCTCTTTACTGAAAAATATATCAACTTATTAGATTATATGGAAATCTCAATATTATGTTTCTAATAAAAAGAGATTAACAGAGAAGATACCTCATAATGTTATATCTGTTGTCAATCTCATTCTCAGTATCAACGATATACAGCTGCTGAAACTTTGCTTTGTTTCCTGGTTTTGGCTTCATATCACCTATGAGATGGTAGTTTTCACCTTGTATAGCAAACATCTGAGGACCACGACCCTTAGGAACACAATGATCCACTTTCCCACCGATAGAAGTAAATGAGAAAATCATATTGTAAGCTCTGATGTTTTCTCTAAAATGTCTAGCGATTTCATCATCACTGGTTAGCAAATACCACAACAATTCAGGCGAGTCCTTTAGGAAAGGTAAGACTATCTGTCCTTGCATACAACACCCTGAGAACTTTGGATTTTTTGTTTTCCTTCTCTTGTTTAGGCGTTCCCCATACCAAAAAATAGCACCACACTCGTTACAACTAAAGATTGGATCACCTTCATCAACATAAGCTGAAAAAAAAATCTAATTAAGGTATATCTTACTATAGTAAGTCTATTTGCTAGTCACCGATAAATGAGTCAAAATTGGAAGAATACCATTTTTTTGCTTAGGTGGAATGCTGGGCGTTTCCTTAGGTTTACCAAAAGCATTCTCTAACATAGTAAGTATGTCAAAACGTTCTTTAGCTCGATAAATTGCTTCTTTCGGGTTGTAAGCACATTCTTCAGCATAGTCATCTTCATCTGATGAAGAATCGGAAGATAATTCTTCTTGACTGCTGCAGTATAAATCTTCTTGGTAGTTGTCTTCATATTCTCCTGTTATTATTTGGATATTATAATTAACAATATCTGCTTGAGTATAATATTTTAAAAAATTCTATTACCTTCGGTGGAGTCTTGATAATCTGTGAAATGATCATCTTCATCTGTATCTGTATTACTATCATTATCCTCCATATCACCATGATGAGAATCAAGGAAATCAGGAGTAACAGAATCCTTTTGTAATGTTAACACGGATCCTGCAGGATTATCTGATACATTTTTGTGGAAAATATGGATAGTTAGAATGAACAAATAGAAACATGCATTTGTTATGTATGAAATATGAATCCATTACTGTGATCTAATAAAAAAGTGAGTTCTAACACGAAAATTTACCTTTGGTTCTGTTTTTTGCCGCAGAAGCTCCGGAAATATCATCATTAAGAGAATAAGAAGATTGAGGTTGATATGAGTTGTCACCGATTATTGTTGAGGTTAGCTGGGATTTGTTGAATGGACTACCTGACACTTTTAATAAGATTTATCGTGTTAGCTTACTCTGAATGATTTTAAAAATACATATACAATCTTTAGACTGTCATAGAACAATGAAGAATATGACTTACATGGGATAGGGGAGAAATTTCTTGCTTTTTTAGAAACAGGAGTTTGATATGGAGTGTTTGAAACATTTTCCTGGCCTCTTGCAGTGGAACATGAGAAAGTTCTTTGGTCAGATGGTGATAGTCCACGGCTACTACCTGGTGAGTTAGATATATCTGTCAAAACTCTTCTAAATACGGAATTGATTGCAACAGCAGTTTTGTTATGGCTTTCTGCTGAAGGTGGATCATCTATAGTACGGAGTACATTAGATGTTGTTCTTTTTCTTTTAGGAGTTGGAGTGACTTCAGGAGAAGTTAGACCATGTGTATTATCGTTTTTTTCCATTATGACTTGGTTTCCTGTTGAACATAAAAGGTTTTGCTATAAAACATCAATAGTTTGCAAACCAATTAGATATACTAAAATTATAGAGAGGATAATAAATTTAAGTAGCTCTATGACAGGCTATCAAAATATGAATACCTTGGAATGTAATGGCTTTCCAAATACTCTGTAGCGTATTTCCTATGACATTCCTTCAAAAGTCCAAAAATTTATGATGTTTAAGTGTTTTTGCATTTGAGCTTGAGGAATAACTCTCAACCAACAATCTTTATAATCGACGATAGGAGAAGTATATAATATTAGATATCTCAAGATATTCCATATCTCTGACTAAATTAAGTTGTTTGAGTAAGGTAATATTCTATCTTATCTGTTATTAACTAAATCTATACTTTTGTGATACACAGGATATTGGATGATAAGAAGACCTATAAATGAGGAGCTAAGTACGTTAATCAACTTACTATAAAGGTATGTATAGTCTTGGAAGCCAGGTTCAAATTTGACAATTTTTCCTAAGTAGCACATCTTTGTCGCATAAAATTTTAATTTAAGCAAAATAAAAGTTAAACTTAGATAAACATAAGAAAAGAATGTAGAACATAAGAGTCTAATTCTACAAACCATCTGGAATCCACATTGCTTATAGTAAATTTGGCTCGATATAATATATTGTCTAATGTTCTCTGAAATCAATAAACATAATTAACAAAAAAAGGAAATATATTATTAAATAGCTTCTGCTAATAGCACATTTAATATTAAGTTTAACAAAGAAAACATAAATGAAAAAGCAAGATAAATTAAAACATAGGGGGAATATTCAGAAACAATCCACTAAGTACTGATGTATTAGCTTGAATCAACTTCTTCCATAAAAACCTCATCATCATCTGAGGGTGTGAATTCATCATCTCCCTGAGTGTAACACTTCCTGTGAATCAAAAATACAGCTAAAATCAATATCTAACAATTGGTATGTAAGTTAAGTAAATTGAATCTATTATAGAGAAGGAAATACATGAAATGCTGTCTGTTGATGTCATGGAAATTTGGATCAAAGAAAATTCTTGGACAACCTACACCAGTAATCAAGCAAGGTTTACCTATAAAACAGAAAAATTCAAAAATCAGTTCCATAACAAAATGTTGGCTATCTAAACTGTCACATATAGATAATGACTTTAAAAATTAGGTGTACAATATCACCTTGAAACTCTGAAATCCTCCAAAATCGCAGAACAATCATGATTGGTTCATTGTGATAATCCACATCACTTATTCTTCTAGAATACTTCCTAACAAATTCTTCACAGGAATTTCCTTTTGCCACACAATTCAAGTAATGGCCACTACATGTAATGATACAATGTATAATCACATGCTCATATGTAATAAGACTGTTAACTAATACATGCATATTTTTCAAAGTACATAATGGCATTGTAAATCCGTACTTACATAGTATCCTTCAGTGTGAAAGTAACATATCTTGAATCCAAATCACTTCCACCTTCCAAAAGTCTTCCAACAGGAGAGACACTGACAACCACTCCACATACATCTAAATATGGCAAAAATCAGTCATAAGTATATAGATGATCTATTAAAATTTACTAATAATGGTTGCCAATATAAAACAGAAACTTACCAACAACAAAATGTTTGTCTTCTTCTGATGCATTATTGATACTGAAAAAATCTACACAATTAAAAAATTCGGATTGTGATTTTGGTCTGACAGGATCCACCTCTGTTTTTCTATTACAGCTAATTTGGTAAACATGATCAGAGTTCCTTTCAGGCAATGAAGGTGGAATCACATCAAATTCCGACAAAAGGTACCACTGTCCTTCTCTGAGCTCTCTAGGGAAGTTCCTTTTGATTGCAGTTGTAGGAACCGTAGCATCAATTCTTTGTCCCTTATAAAGAAAATGATAATAAGTTAAGTTTCAAATATCATTATCAGCACAAAGAGAAAACATATAACATTATTAGCGCAAAGAGAAAACAATATATACCGTTTCATCCACAAGAATCATAGTTGTCTGATCATTAGGATGTTTAGGAGGATTATTCCAGATGCTTAAGACCTTAACAAAAACCAGCCATTTCTTCTTTCTTCGATTTAAATCTGAAAAAAGCACTGCCATGATCAGCGAAGTAGATTATGATGAAAACCTCTCTAACTGGTGTGTTTTTTATTTCTAAGAAATGGGCGACTTGAGTGTGATATTATAATGAAGTATAGATGTATTTATACACGTTATGATAAGGCCAAACCTATAGCATTGTGGCCAATTTACTAACTAAAGGTAAACAGAAATATGTTTTAATAAAGGTAAAGTGTAACAAATAATATATCACTATGTAAAAACCAGTTGTAAAACATGACCAAAACATATGATAGATATATTGACTGATATAACAGCTTTTTTGCTTTTCAAGATTCATGTCTCTGTTTTACCTCTAAGAAGCTTGAATTTTGACCAGATATAACAGCTTTTAATGGTTTTCGTGCCTATTTTGTGTTTGCTTATTCAGATACCTTTAAGAGTGATGCTAATAGACAAAACCCGTGAATTGGAAAAGAAAGCAAGTGGCCTATTTCACATCCAACACAAATACCAAAAAATGGAAATAAATATCAGAACATAGATTAGTTATTGGGATTTTAGGATTTCCTGTTTGGTTGTCATGTAAAACAATTAAATCTGGTAAGACTGATGGGGGGGATTAAGGAAAATAATTGCATGAGTCAACAGGAAATTTATTGGCTGTTCATTTCCTATAGGATTCATACCAGTATGTTGACAATCAGATAATTTGACTGGAAATTAAAGCTTATGCATTTACAATTATAAAATAGGCTTTGTTGGATTAGGATTTAAGTTTTCATGTGATGTATATGCCATGGTAGATAGTTTTTATATCATAAAGTACCATGTACATAATATTTTTAATTTTCTGTACTATTTGTAGATATTCTCACTAACTTTTAAAATAGTTGAGTAAGATAACATTCTTTAGAAGTAGTTACTAACTAAATTTAATATACTTTCATGATTGACAGGATATATTATGATAAGAATATCAAACAATAAGGAGCAAGGATCTCGGATCAGAAACCTATTATTGAGGTTAGTGTCATTCAGAAGGATGAGTTTATAGTAAATTTTGCTCAATATAAAAAATTCTTTCTGTTCTCTGAAATTTAAAAACATAATTAACATAAAAAAAAAGATATTCCATAGCTTGTGCTAACACTCGATTTAAGCAAAGCTTTTGCAATGAAAACATACGAATTAAGCAAACTAAAAGTAAAACACAGATAAGCAAAATAAAAAACAACTGAACATAAGAGTCTAGTTTTACAAATACTGGAATAGCGCATTGCTTAAAAAAAAATTAACAAAACAAAGCATTAAAGGAAGTCCAAGATAGAATATAACATAGGAGGAATTTTCTTGATGCCATCCACACAGCTGCAAATCTTAGTTAGAATCACCGTTTTCATCAGAAACATTGTCATCATCTGAGGATGCTGTTTCTTTATTTCCAGCAGTGAAAAAGCAGCTGCGAAAATAAATATAACTAACATAAGAATATAAAAACTTATGTATAACTAAACCAATTTAAATTTCATATAGACTGTAAAAATACATGTAGCAGTCTCTGTTAATGTCACTGAAATTTTCATCGATGAACATTCTTGGACAACCTCCTTTCGTAATCAAGCAAGGTTTACCTAAAAACACACATAAAAATACCATAATTAGTATGTACTGAAATTTGTTGGCTATATAAACAGTCAAATATGGATTACGAATCTTAAAATTTGTTTGGAGAACATCACCTCCAAACTCTGATATCCTCCAAAAACGCAGAACAACCATGATTGGTTGATTGTGATAATTCACATCACTTATTCTTCTGGAATACTTCCTAACAAATTCTTCACAGAAACTTCCTTTTGCAACACAATTAATGGAATGGCCACTACATGTAATGATACATAATAAAAATATAATGACACTTTTGAAAATCTGTTAACTAATACAACTCATATAGATTCTCAGACTATATTGATTTTCCAATAAAACTTACGCAAGGTCCTTTAATTTGAAAGTAACATAGCTTGAATCCAAATCGCTGCCTCCTTCAAGTAGTCTTCCAATAGGAGAGACACTCCTAACCACTCCAACTACATCTAAAATGGGAATAAGTCAAAAATTAGGCTATAAGAGTAAAAAAAAAATAATCCCCGAAATTTGGAACTCTAATCCAGAATATTACCAACAACGAATTGCTTATCTTCTTCTGATGGATTATTGATCCTTGGAAAAGCAAGACACTGCAGGAATTCGGAAGTGTATTTCTGTTTGTAGTGAGCCATAGTTGTCTTGTTATTAAATCTAAGTTGGTAAGGATGATTAGAGTTCCTTTCACGCAATGAAGGTGGGATCACATCAAAATCCCAAAGAAAGTACCACTCTCCTTCTTTGAGATTTCTAGGAAAATCCCTTTTGTATGAATCTGGAGGAACCACAGCATCAATTCTGGTACCCTGAAATATAAAACGTTTAAAAGATTTGTCTCCCTCATCATCTATAATAAATCTATAGAACAAATGATATAAAAAGGAGAAAATAACACATACCTTGTTATCCACCAAAATCATGGTAGTGTGATCATTGGGATGCTTGGGAGGATGATTCCAAATGCTCAAGATCTTAACAACAACAAACCATTCCTTCTTCTCAAGAGTTAAATCAGTTAAAAAATTATTCATTTGGAAAAGATTAGAGTAATCGTCTGAAAAGGATGAAAGTTGATGATTTTTTGTTTGTGCCAACTCTTGGGAGAACTTGAGTGTGATACATGTAGAAATAAATATATGTATTTATACACATGTAGAAAAGGCCAAACCTATAGCATGACCAATAGAAACATTTTAGAAAAACCAGAATAATCATTTTTATATATTACTAAAGTAGAGAAAACAAAAACTTTATATGTGACAACCAATTTGCAAAACTTGACCATTGCACCTGATTGATGTATTGGCACAAGGTAACAGCTTTTTTGGTTATCAAAGCTACTGTGTTTCTATGACATCTAAGAAAGAAACTTTAATTTTATGATAAAATGCAGCTTTTTTTGAAAACTTTGGACTATAGTTAATATCAAATAAGCTTAAAGCTTGTAAGACTGTGGGGAGGGGAGTTTACGAAACAAAATATATAATTCAATATAGAATATATAGAATCACAATGCTACAACTTTTTTAAAATCTTTGCATTAGGGGGGATGTTTTTTTAGCATTTCCATGACCAATATAGTTCATAGCAGATTATAAGAGAAAGATTATTTGATTAACAACAAAAAAACTATTCAGTAACTTATATAAATTGTAAGGTACTGACATTAAAGGTCCATCATATTCACGAATGATAAAAGTTCATAACAATGCAAATAACTTTTGGCAAAGTACATTTAAACATATAGTAAAGTCTCTGGGAATCTTAAAATTTAAAGATAGTCAAATAACAAAAAAACAAAAAGAGATAACTGGAATATATCAAAGTACAAACTGATAAAACATATGATTCAATTTTATCCTCTTAGCTTTGTCTTAGTTAGAATCCACTTCCTCCACCTGATCATCATTTGCCTCGGCGATTGCAAATGATCGACTAAATTATAAAAAGCAAAGAGGAAATATTAGTTAGTTTAATCTCATGCTAATTAAAATATGAGAAAACCATAAAGTATGAAATTACATGTATCTGTAGATATCGAAATCTGGAAATTGTTCATCAATAAAAACCCTTGAACAGCCAGCTACACTCATTAAGCAAGGTGACCCTATAGAGGAATAACCAAAGAGAGTTTTAGATTAAATAAATATGCATATATAGTTTTTGATCAAATTAATAGAAATAATGTAATTCACTATAGTTAAGCACCATTTATTTCGGAGATCCTCCAGAATCGCATAACAGCCACGATTGGATCATTGTTGTATCTAGGAGAACTTAAACGTGTAGACAATTTGTTAACAAACTGCTCACAAGACTCTCCAACAGCAACACATATCATCTTTTTGCCACTAAAAATATAATAACATAGAGATTATTCAGATTAATACAATCTAGCTTGCTAAAATTATCATGTAACACTAAACATAATAAACCAAAATGCAAAACTTACTCATTGTCCTTAATCTTGAACATCACATGTCTTGCTTCAGAATCGGTTTGTCCTATACCACAGACAAAAGGCACTGTTCGAATGGGAGACACACTTGTTATCAAACCAATAGCATCTACACAGGAAAACAGATAGATTTCAGATTAATGGCTCTTGACAATATATCTAAATTATGTATATAGATCTTACTAGTTACATGCTCCTTTTCTTGTGTTCCAGCATATTTGATTTCATCATAATCAATGAAATCCATGTAATTGTTGATTGATCTAGGAGTTATGTGAACCATTTTTGTTTCCCACTTACATTGAATCATGAAAGGGTGCCAAGAGTATCTAGAAATGGGATTTTGGGGAACAACGTTAAAATCAGACATGAAGTACCATTCACCTTCTTTGAGATTCTTTTTGAAATTGTGTCTGTATAGACCATTTGGGATTACAGCATCGATTCTGTTTGCCTACATAAGAGATTTTATATGAGTTGTGATATTATAAGATGACCACAAATAAGTCTGTGATAAAACAAATAAAACTAAAACGAAACTATAAGTAATAGGTAACACATACCTTCTCATCAACCAAAATCATGCTTGTAACCATACTCGAATTTGGTGTGGAATGAACATTCCAAATACTCAAGATCTTTAAATGAACCTTCCAGTTCATTCTCTCGTTGTTCAAATCAGAAACAAAATTCATGGGATAGGAAGAGTTTGACATTTAGGTTCAGTTTTACTTCACGGTTGTCTTGTTAATGGAAGAGAAGAGAATTAGAGAGCAAACAAAGTAAATATAAGTTGTTTAAAAGATTTGATAGTTTGGATTCTGATAACTTAAACAAATACTAATAAGTATAAAATGCCTTTCAAAATTCCACTCAAGTGCTTTGTTTACGTTTTATGTCAGGTAGAAATGATAGACATTGGGTATATCAAAACCAAAAATCCGGTTTTGAATGATGACTATTGTTTTAAATGATTTGTATTTATTAGTTTTATTTCCCAAATGAAGTATCCA